ACACCCGGGCCCACCCAAGCCTTTCCATTTCTTACCTACGTTTGGTCTCATTAATTCACGTCTAGAAATACATTTGAATGAAAACCAATCCAGGATATATGCATACATTAATTTTCAGGAGATGTTTAGCAAGGCTATTTGTGTAGAAAAATTGGAGCTAGGTAAATGACTAACAATACACGACTGATTCTAAATCATGGAAATTCGTTAAGCAGACTTTTTGTTTTTAGACAGGGCCTCACTCTTTGCCCAGAAGCAGTGCAGTGGCATGATCATGGCTCAGTGCAGTCTCCAACTCCTGGGATCAAGTGAACCTCCTGCCTCAGCCTCCTGAGTAGCTGGGATTACAGATTCACACCACCACCCCTGGCTAATTTTTAAATTTTTTTGTGGAGATGGGAGCCTTTCTGTGTTGCCAGGCTGGTCTTGAACTCCCAGGCTCAAGCCATCCTTGAGCCTTGATCTCCTGAAGTCCTGGGATTGTAGGTGTGGCCCACCACACCAGCCTTTTAGTAGAATTTATTGCTCACATTTAAAGTCATTTTACGAGAGAATATTTATGATCGACAGAAAATGCTCACTATAGACCAGGCAGGAGGGCTCACGCTTATGATCCTAGCACTTTGGGAGGCCGAGGCAGGCAGATCACTAAAAGTCAGGAGTTTGACACCAGCTGGGACAACATGGTGAAACCCTGTCTGTACTAAAGATACAAATATTAGCTGGGCATGGAGGTGTGTGCCTACAGTCCCAGCTACTTGGGAAGCTGAGGTAGGAGAATTGCTTGATCCCTGGAGGTAGAGGTTGCAGTGAGCTGAGATCGTGCCACTGCACTCCATCTTGGGCAACAGAGTGAGGCTCCAGCTCAAAAAAAAAAAAAAGAAAAAAGAAAACACCTCACTATATATTGAGTTGAGGAAAGCAGTTTACAAAACAGGTCTTGGGAATGGGTGTGGTGACTCATGCCTGTAATCCCAGCACTTTGGGAGGCCAAGGCAGGTGGATCACGAGGTCAGGAGTTCAAGACCATCCTGGCCAACATGGTGAAACCCCGTCTTGACTAAAAATACAAAAGTTAGACTAAATCCCATCTCGACTAATGCAACAAAAAAACAGGTTTTGGCTCAAAAAGACAACAGGTAGATATAATATGGATAGACAAAGACAGGAAAGTGACATCTCTGGTGACTGGATGCTACACATAAATTTTCTGCCACATTATTTTTGTTTGTTTCTTTGCTTGTTTGTTTTGAAATTGAAGTCTCACACTTCTCCCAGGCTTGAGTGCAATGGTGCGATCTTGGCTCACTGCAACCTCTGCCTCCTGGGCTCAAGCAGTTCTCCTGCCTCAGCCTCCTGAGTAGCTGGGGTTACAGGTGCCTGCCACCAAGCCCGGCTAATTTTTATTTTTAGTAGGGACAGGGTTTCACTATGTTGGCTAGGCTGGTCTCAAACTCCTGACCTCAGGCGATTCACCTACCCTGGCCTCCCAAAGTGCTGAGATTACAGGCGTGAGCCACCATAACCGGCCACCATGTTATATTTGTAAAGATAAGAGAGAAAAAAAGATTTTTTAAATCTCAGGGTTGGAGATGCAGGGGTGGTCAGCACTTCACTCACCAGTGCTTGTGGGCTTTCTTCCCTCCCTGGAAAGGGATGGAGAATTCTATGTCCAAAGGGAGGCTCTGCCGTCCACGGTTCTGAGCTTGAAGTCACTACGAGTTCTTTCAAACTTGTGTGATGAGGGGTCTCCGATGTTGGCCTCAGTTCCCAGGCCGAACTCAGCAGATCAGCCCATGAAAACTTCTGTATAGAGACGAAAGGAAAAAAACTGTCGGAAAGCAACACCTATTGTCCTGGTGTCGACACCAAGGAAGAGGACAGGTGACAGAGAAACTGAAGACAGGTGGTGGAAAGAGGTATAACACTCCAGCCCCTCAATCTAGAAATGCTAGCAGGACCAACAACAGCTTCATAGACCAGGCCGGGCGCAGTGGCTCATGCCTGTAATCCAAGCACTTTGGGAGGCCGAGGCCGGTGGGTCACCTGAGGTCAGGAGTTTGAGACCAGCCTGGCCAACATGGTGAAACCTTGTCTCTACTGAAAATACAAAAATTAGCGGAGGGTGCAGTGAGCTGAGATCGCACCACTGAGCTCCAGCCTGGGCGACAGAGTGAGACTCCATCTCAATAAACAAACACAAAAACAAAAAATAGACAAGCTGAAGGTCAGAATCCCCAGTGAAGATTCTTCATAAGAAAAAAGACAGCATTATAACTCATCAGCAGCTGCAGGGCAGGCCATGCAAGATGAGGAAAGAACAAAAATGTTCCAAATAATCAAAATTGGAACTGTAACTTTTCAGATCCCAGCTGACTTTGTAAATCTCAAGCTAATCAGAACTTTGCAAGGGCCAGATTTAGTGAGCATCCAACACCAAGTGTTCTTCCCAAACCACCAAGCTGTTTCCTTTAAATCTTCAGATAAGGAAATAATGACATTTTAACTTAAAACCTTACTTAAAGTACAGAGACAAAATAAGATAAAGTATGAATATTTACATTTAGCTGTGTTTACAGATAGCTGTCAGTTGGTCTAAAATTTACCAAGGGATTAATGTATTTGTGTAGAACTGTTAATGTAAAAAATATAATTGACTTCATCTCATTTGTTTTATGTGTTAGGTGCCCTGTGATGTAATGATAGCATCAGTGCAACTTAAAGTAACTAAATTAATAATAGTACTTATTACTAAGTGTTCTCAAATAATTTTTTTTTTTAGACAGAGTCTTGCTCTATCACCCAGACTGAAAGTGCAGTGGTGTGATCTCAGCTGACTGCAATCTCTGCCTCCCGGGTTCAAGTGATTCTCGTGCCTCAGCCTCCTGAGTAGTTAGGATTATAGGAGTGTGCCACCACACTCGGCTAATGTTTTCATTTTCAGTAGAGATAGGGTTTCACCATGTTGGCCACACTGGTCTCAAACTCCTGACCTCAAGTGATCTGCCCAGCTCGACCTTCCAAAGTGCTGACATCACAGGCATGAGCCACTGCGCCCAGCCAAAGCTCTACATTTAAAAGCAGAACCTGGTGGCCATAGCAGGATGAGAAAGAGTACACCTTGGTTTCTCAACAAGCAGCTCTTGACAAACATCCTGCTTTACAGCTCTGAGCCAGAAAAGTTTTAGTAACCACAGCCAGGATAAACTACTCCTCGCAACCTACCCCACTCTGTCTCCCATTCCACCCCCACCCCCCAAAATGAACAGCTGACAAAGACTTTTGGTTTTGGGCTTTAAACGCTCCCAATCAGGGCTGGATTATTTTACCAATCAGAACTGAAGAAGTTTTAATCCTTCATTAGCATAAATGCACTAAGACTATGGGCTAGAAATGTTCTTATTTAAGCCAGACCCTCCCTTTGTTCTTTGAGGAGGACACTTTCATTTGTACTGAAGGCTGTGCCTCCCAGGTCTGTGAATGTTTTTTATGGAAAGTAAAACTCTCCCTTTCTCCTCTGCTGATCTCAGGGTCTCTTGTTAACCCCCACTAGGCCTTTCTAAACAGGGCCACAACAGGAAGGTCTGATAATGGTGAAAGGTGACTGAGATAGGGCCCACCTTGCATATTTTTAGAAGCCTTAGCAATAATAATATAATCCAACCTCCTCATGTGACAGATAAAGAAACTGAGGTTCACTGGAGTGATGAGTCAGGCATGGGTGGCATACTAGCTTCAGTCCACAAAGACAGCCCTGATAAAGCCTGGAAAAGTTTGTTAGGAGGGTTACCACCTAATTTCCATCCACCTAGCTACTAATGCCTGGATATTGTAGTTTCTACCTATCTTGAATGAAGACCTGTATGTAAGCTCCATGTCTGTGTGTGTGTGTGTATTTGCTGTATAGAAACTTTAGATCTGTATATAAGCTCCGTGTGTGTGTGTGTGTGTGTGTGTATTTGCTGTATACAGACTTTGCATTCTTTCTGACTTAGCATTATATGGTGAGCTTTTCCCAGTGCCATGCAGGGGGCTCTCAAATATGTTTGTAGGAAGAATGCCAGACAGTTTTTGAAAAACCTCAGCTTTAAGAGCCTCCCCATATTCAACTGGTACAGCTGAATGTGTCTCACAAGTCCTATTGCTATGCCTTTAGGTTTTTAAAAATCAGCTTTAATTGTCAAAAAAAAAGTGCTGCTGAGAACATCCCTGTTAAGTCTTTGCATTTGTGACTATAAGTGATTCCTAGTACTAGGCTTGTCACATTAAAGACCGCAGATCTTTTGGTGGGCAGTGCTTAGTTGCCTACTCAAAGGACTGTGCTAGTCTACACATTCAGTGGAATGAGGGTGCTTACTTTCTTTCATTGTTAGTGAGGCTATTTGTTATGAGTGGAGGAAAGTGACAAAGTCCATATGCAGCTAGATGGTGGTCACGTGGTGTATTCTAGAAGCATCACCTTCTCTGCTTGTGCCACTGGCCCATTGTGCTTGGCATCTCCAGTACACCCAGCACCACGTATGTTGCTGACTCAGTGAATGTGCTCTTACCTAGCGTCCCATCTCTCATCCCAACTCCCATAGGTCACAGCCTGATAGATCTCTAGGGCTGTCATTTTTCTGCGCCTCTTGAGTGGAAAACAGGAAGACACACACGCTGCCAGCACCAGGCATAAGGACATCACGGTGTTGTCCTTCCTGTCTTTTTCATTGGTCCTTTTGCTTTGTGTCCTTCCCAGTGCTGTCATATGCCCTGGGTGGCTGCTGTCACTTTTATTAGGGATGTTTTGGTTCCACAAAAGGAAAATAAAGGGAAGGACAGATCTCATCTTTCCTACGCTCACTCATTTATTTATTCATTCAACAAATATTTCTTGAGCCACCTATTGTATATGGGCCAGTATGCTTATTGGAGACGTAGAAGGAAATAGTATTGGTATGAGTATCTGACAGTGCTGGACGTGTACTAAATGACAAGCACTGCATTCAGGATAAAAACACACATCATCTGTGTTTCTGCCGTCCAGCTGGAAGGGAACCTCAGTTCTTGCCTATTGGCTAGAGCCCTTCACAGAATGTCCCCCACCCCTACCAGTACCTGCTGCAGCGCCCCTCCCCCTCTGCAGAATGTCTGGGGTCCTATGTTCTAAACTTATTTACTTTCAAATTTTCCCTGATCTACCTGAACTCAGGAGAATCTGTTGAGGCAGGTGACTCTCTGGGCCCTGCCCTTGGCTTTTCTCATGTGGAAACTATCAGACAGCGGTGATCAGCACCCAGCCTGAGGGGATGGCTTCAAATGGAGGTGAGCCTGTAGAGACAGGGGCATTATCCAAGTCTCTGCCATGTTTCAAATCCTTGGGAATTCAAATTTCACACTGCCCCAGGGGACAGTTGATAGGGCTGATGTTGAGGGAGGGACGGAGCACTGGATGTCCCCAAAGACATCACACCTGGGGAGGGCCATGGCACCCTGAGTCTGTGGTTAGGGAGGATGGCTCCTTAGAGGTGGACCAAGGTGCCTGGGGGAATACACCGTGTAGGGGAAAGGATGGAGTGGATGTATTGATTCTTTCTAAAGGGGGACAGGTCATGTCACCGTGTTTGTAGGGAGTGGTGGGATCGAGTTGTGCCGGTGGCCCAGAGAGGATGACAGGCAAGTCTGAGCCCTGTTTTGTGTCTTCAGGCTCCTGGAAGGTGTCCTTCCATAGTGTTCAGAGGGATTTGGACTGGACTTTTCTAGATGTTAGGGAGGAGTGGGGAGAAGGGGTCTCAGCCAGAAAACTGTTGGGTGAGTTGGCTGTGACAGAGCATCCAGTGACAGCTTCTGGGTGGGCGAGGCTGGGGGTACTGTAACTGCCGCAGCCTCTCAGCTCCCTCCCCAGAGGTGGCTTCTCTGTCAGTTCAGGTGGCTGTTGGCTCTGATTTAACAGGGGTGGGGGCAGTTGGGGAAGTTCAGGCAACACGGCCTGGGCTTCCCAGGTTGTTCTGAATTGTTCGTCGTTTTGTGGAAGCTCAGGTCTTCAGACCCACTTCCTCTTGTCTACTAGCTCATGGCCTGTCCTCTGCACTTTGTGTTACTGTGGAGATGAAGGATTTGCTTCTATTCCATGTCCACTACCTCCTGAACAGGGGACAGGTGTGGACTCTTGCGGGTTCTCAGTGGAAGGGTCTGGAAAGATGGTTTCCTTTTCAGTTAGAGGAAGGAGAGTAGCGCACAAATAGGAAGATGGTCCTCTTATTATTATTATTCAAGTTAGGGTGTGTGTCCTGACTGATGAGGTGCACGTGCTGTATCCCTATTCCCCTTGACTGGGGACTGCATGAGGTCCTAGTGAACAGTGATGAGCTCCAGACAACTATGCCCCACCTGGCCCATGGCCCAAGAACCTCTGGTTCTTGGTTGGTCACTATATTGAGTTACTGGGAGCTCAAAGGCAAAGGACCAGAGATGGGCTTGCTGTCCCACGACCTACTGTAACATGACCAGCAGCTGTGAAAATCCCCGGACACCTCCCCTGACAGCCCCACTGCTCACCGCTGGCTGGCTGTGCTCTAATCGTGTGCCACTGTTGCTGGCTGAGCAATGACAGTACCTCAGGGAACTTCACCACTGCTTCTCAGACCTGCTCCCTGGGAACAGAGCTTCCTGAGTGGCAGCCAGGACCACCGAGCACGGAGGAAAGTGTTGCCTGACTCCGACCCTTGTTTAGCACTTGCTGGGCATGGTGCCAGGACAATCACTTGCACACTGGGCGTGACGCTTATGGGTTATCTTCAGGGTTCACAGGGTGCTGGCTTGGGAGAGATTTCTTTCCAATGATTTCCTTCCTTCTTCTTTTCTACTTTCCTTCCTTCTTTCCTCCCTTCTTTCTTTTTTTCTTTTTTTTTTTAGCAGAGTCTTGCTCTGCCACCTGGGCCAGAATGCAGTGGTGCAATCTTGGCTCACTGCTGTCTCTGCCTCCTGGGTTCAAGCAATTCTCCTGCCTCAGCCTCCTGAGTAGCTGGGATTACAGGTGTGCGCCACGACACTGAGCTGAGTTTTGTATTTTAGTAGAGACATGGCTTCCCACATTGACCAAGCTGGTCTTGAACTCCTGACCTCAGGTTACCTGCCCGCCTAGGCCTCCCAAAGTGCTGGCATCACAGGCGTGAACCACCACGCCCGGTCTATTCAGTGGTTTTCTTTTGTTGTGCTGAGCTAGGAAAGAAAGAGGTGTACGAGAGCTTCAGGAAAAGGAAGACTGAAGAGGAGATGGGGCCATAATATTAGGAACCTTCTGGCTTCCTGGAGGCCTTCTGAGTGCAGAGCACTGCCCTGGGGGAGGCCCCTCACCTGCTGCTGAGCATGCTGAGGGACACCAAGCCGGCGAGAGATTCATCCCTGACCCATGGCTTGGGAGATGCCTGTAAGGCTGGCAGGGTGTGCCAGGGACGCCCGAGGGAGACCCTCAGAGGCAGCGAAGGCTTGGCTGTTGCTTCCTGGCAGACAGGCGTCAGGAAGTCTAGTGGAGCCGTGGCCAGGCTCTCTAGTGAGGCGACCCTCCTGTGGAGGAACAGAGCATCCAATGCACACTCAGGGACACTTGCAAGCTGCAGAGTTTCCCTGTCACACTCCGTCAGCTGTAGGACACCCCTCTGATTCCCAGTGACTACTGCAGACCTGGAGACCTCAGCTCATTCACCTCTTTCCTTTGTCTCCACAGCATACCCAGTGCTGGGACTGGACGTGACCGAGAACCCTGGCGCCTCCATGCCAGTGTTCACGGCTCTGCCCTTCGCCACACCTGCTCCCGGCCCAGCACACGGGCCGCCCCTCATGACTGCAGCGGTTCTTCCAGGCAGCCTTCCAGTGCTGTCTGCCTTCCCCAGGACCCCTCTGGTGGCAGGACAGGATGGCCGTGCCCTGAATTGGGCTGGGGCTTCCAACATCCTTGTCCAGATGACGACAGAAGTGGGGCCTGTGAAGGCCCCTCAGGCACAGACCTTGGTCCTAACTCAGGCCCCCCTCGTCTGGCAGGCTCCAGGTGCCGTCTGCAGGGGCGTGGCATGTCCACCTCCCCGGCCCCTGGCAGCTGCCCCTGTGGTGCCCGCTATGGCTGCCCAGGTTGTTAGGGGCACTCAGGCCTGTAAGGGAGCCTGGTCCCACGGCCTTCCTCCTCCAGCACCACCGGCTCCCCAGCCAGCCCCCATCGTGGCCCCAGGGAACGCTGGTCCATGGTCACAAGGGGCTCATGGAGAGGGCAGCCAGGCTCCCTCCCAGGCCAAGGCCCCCACGGACGACTCCTGCAACCCCAAGAGCGTGTATGAGAACTTCCGACTCTGGCAGCACTACAAGCCCCTGGCCCGGAGGCACCTTCCCCAGAGTCCGGACACGGAAGCGCTTTCCTGTTTCTTCATGTGAGTGTCCTCGGGGCACCGGAGCTCGTCCTGCAGCTCACCTGTAAAGACGCTGCTCGATGGACGGGAGGTCACGCTGGTCAGGAGAGCTTGCAGGGCGTTCTTGAAAGCAATGGTTTGCACTATCAAAGGGCACATTTTCAGCAACATTAATCTGGCTGCCGCTCAGGTCAGACTCTCAGGGGCCTCATGTCACCTGCTCCTCACTGTCCTGTGAGTGCAGCCAATCCTTACTTCCAGTCATTTTCATGACAGTGTTTACAGAACACCCAGGTCAGAGAGGGTTCCCGGTCCGACATGAGCCACGGGTTGGGTTTAGGACTTGAGTGCGCCCCAGTGCCTCCCCTTGACCTGAGTGGCGAAGGCCAGGGGCACAACACATGGGCTGGGGGTAGGAGCTGCAGGAACCTGGCACATGCCCACTGCTCTGCCGAGGTCCAGCTGGCACAGTGGTAGTGGAGCCTGCACAGGAGATGGTCTCGGGCCCTGAACTAGGGTCCATGCTGGGCAAGTATTTGCAGCTTCGCCCTTGATCCCTTCTAGAAAAAGGGACGACGATGCTTCATTCAGAGGATGGTGAAGAGGTGACTTGAGCTCACTTATGACACATATAGCAGTGTCCGGCACATGCTGTGACACATTACATGACATGACAGCAGTTATGATTACTGTCCCTATTGCTATCATTATCAGGACTAGGCCATCTAGGACAGTGATCCCCAAAGCCACAGGCTCCAGTGATGGCTCTGAGTGCACCACGAGCCCAGCAGCCCAGGGGCGTGGACTGTGGTGACTGAGGCAGCAATGCCAGCATCTGGGAGAGTTTGTGGATTCAGTCCCAGTCCTGCCTCTCTCCATCCTGCGGTGCCTCTGTGACCCTGTGTCCCCCGCTGATGAGCAAACCCGTACTCCACGGGAGCTTGAGCGCATCCACCAGGCAACACACTGGCCACTCCCTAGGCAAGTCCCCTGCCCAGGGTGTAGGTGTAAAGAGTCCCCATCATTGTTCCCAAAAATCTTGCCGCCCCTGCGTCCTGGGACTGGTTGCATTCTCCCTTGGAGCTGAGTCCCCATGCACTGGGGACCCTGATTCTCGGAGTGGAGCTGCCCCAGGCTCACAGGCTCTGCATGCAGTGGGCTTGGATGCCGCTCTGCTTGGTTCTGGTTTGCTCTCCTCTCCAGGACCCTGAGGCTGAGTCCCCAGGGGCTGCCTTGCTCCCGAGTCCCCAGGAAGCTGGTTAAATGCGCAGTCCTGTGGCCCTGGAACCTGCACGTTAACCCTCGCTCCCCGGACATTCTGTGTGCGTGCTGTCTCAGTCAGCTCAACTCCGCCATAACAAATCCTACAGACTGGGTGCTTTATCAGGACACAGTCACATCTCCCAGTTCCAGAGGATAGAGGTCCCAGATCAAGGCGACAGCAGATTGGTGTCCTGGCTGGAGAGGGCTGCCTCTGGCTGTGTCCTCTTTCGGCTGAGAGGGAGAGCCCTGGTGTCTCGTCCTGCCCTTATCAAGGCTCAGATGCCATGACGGGAACCCACCGTCATGACCTGCTCTAATCCTGATTGACTCCAAGAATGGATACACTGGGGCTGAGGGCTTCAGCACAGGAATGCTGGGGACACACACATTCCACCCAAAGTACTGAGTTCACTTGTCAACACTGTAACATTGAGGACTCGAGGAGCAGTCATAGAGGCCACCCGTTGGCCAGTGTTGATGTTTGATCTTGGGGCCGTGTCCTGGAAGCTGAGGAGCCCACATGGGAGAAAACAGCACAGGGACAGATGGCAGGACAGGTGTGGGGAGGACAAGGGCCGGCTGTTGGCACCAGATGGGCTTGGGATGGAGGGTGGGCTTGTGGACTGGGACTGACTGCACCACCTTACAGCCCAGTTCTCCGATCCCTGGCCCGGTGGAAGCCCCGCATGACCCTGGAGGAGGGACTGTGGCGGGCTGTGCAGGAATGGCAGCACACGAGCAACTTTGACCGGATGATCTACTACGAGATGGCGGGAAAGTGAGTCTGGGGTGCAGGGGCAGAGCCCCCATGGCAGGGTGAGAGAGGGTGACACAGGCCTGGCGGCCATGGTGGCTTCTCAGCGTGGAGCATGAGGAGGGTGTAGACAAACAGGCCCTCCTGGGCCCCTGGCTCCCTCAAGGAGCTGTTCCTCCCTCCTAGAGTGCTCTGGGGTCTCTAACCGGCCCTGGAGGGAAGCCATGCCATGCCTGGCCTGCGGCCAATCCCTGCCTGACACTGGGGGTCAGGGAGGGAGCAGCCAGCATCCCAGCCCAAAGGTGGTCACCACCAGCTGTGAGGATGTGGAGAAGGGGCGCTGGCGACTATAGACAGAGTGGGGTGCACTCTCCTCATAGCAGTGGACAGAAGTCGGTTTTCACCCATCCCGGCCTGGCCAGGATTGGAGAAACCTGCCTTGGGTCAGGGGAGACCTGCGTCCAGGACACCATGAGACCCATCTCTGGCCTGCCTGCCTTTGCTCCTGGGCAGTCCCCTCTGTTAAGACAGACCAGCAACCTCAGGGGAAACTGGCCCTGTCTTTTGGGCCCAGCTTTTGCTTCCTCCTGACCAGGGGTCTCTCAGGCCTCGTCATCCTGGGTTATCCTACAGGGACCCACAGTCACAACCTCAGGACTCCAGCATCTGGGCAACATCCCTGACCCCTTCTGCCATAAACCCCACCCCTGGCCAGCTGAAGCCTGGAGGAGGGGTCCCGCTGGTGCCCTCCTGGGCCTCGTGGCCCTGATTTGAGTCAGGAAGCCCTGTTGATGCCATGGGCTCTGCAGGGGCCTGGTGAGGGAGGGAGAGCCCAGAACTCTGGAAGCAGCTCCCTCTGGGACTGGGGGACTGGCCCCAGGGAGGGCCTGGACAACCTGCCCGAGGCACTCCTTCCCATTCCTGCCATCGGCTGCTGCCTGGTCCTGGGGGCAGGGGGCCTGGACCCTCTCAGCACGGCCTGCACCTTCTTCACCCCAGGTTCCTGGAGTTTGAGGCTGAGGAGGAGATGCAGATTCAGAAGTTGCAGTGGATGAAGGGGCCCCAGTGCCTGCCTCCTCCAGCCCTGCCGAGGCTTGAGCCTCGAAGACCATCAGCCCCTGAGGTGGTGAAGCTGCCAGGTACGGCTTCCCACATTCCCACAGGAGCCACCACAAAGGCCAGAGGGGCCAAGGGAGGCCACTGTCCCCACACCCCATGCCTCCCTTCAAGAGAGGGATGTGCTCCTCCAACAGGACAGCTCCCAAGGGCATATGTTGGGTACTGACAAGGTCAACACCCACTTCGTGGGCGGCCTGTGGTCATGAAGGAGGGTACTGACCTGGTGAGGTTTCCTAGCTACTCTCCCCTCGCCTGTCCGAAACTCAACATACAATCCGCCCAGAAAGCAGGGATGAGCAGGTAGAGTACACGGCATATCTGTGGCTCCAAACTTCATCCCAAAGGATGATGTCTCACATGCGCCCCTCCTGCGGCGTCTCCTCTGGGGCACTGTGATTCAGGTGGTCCTGACCCAGCTGAGACCCACTTCACGTCCCTGAGCCCTGCCCTCCCCTGTGTGGTGCAGGCAGGAGGAGCAGCCCTCACCATACCCGTCCTCCTCCCTCCCTGCCTCAGTGTACCTTCCCAGCAAGGCTGGCCCCAAGGCCCCACCTGCCTGCCTGCCGTCACCAAGGCCCCAGCGGCCAGCAGAGACCAAGGCCCACCTGCCACCACCCCGGCAGCCAGTGAAGACCAAGGCCCCCGAGGAGATCCCCCCTGAAGTGGTGCAGGAGTATGTGGACATCATGGAGGAGCTGCTGGGGCCTCCTGATGGGGCCACGGGGGAGCTCAAGGCACAATGGGAAGAGGGCGAAGTGGAGCAGGAAGGGGACGGGATGCTTCTAGACCCAGGCCTCCTGAGCTATGTTGACAAGCTGTGTTCCCAGAAAGACTTCGTCACCAAGGTGGGCTGGCCCGAAGTGCTGGGGTCTGCAGAATTCCAGGGGGTGGCACTCGCAGGTCCTTGGAATTAAGCTCTGCTGTGTGTTTGTGCCTGTAATTTTTTACTGTGTGTTTTTGTGTGTCTGTGTGGCTATGAATGTGGCGTGTGTATGTTACTTGTATCTATTTTCCTGTGTCGTATGTGGGTCTGTGTGTCTGTGTGTGGATGCTACTAGGTCTGTGATGTGTGTGGAGCTGGTGATCGCCATGATATGAGACAGCTCCAGAAGGGTGGGGACGGGGCACTCGCTGCTTTCTGCATCTCCTCTAGGTGTCCTTGGCTAGGTTACTTCCTGCCCGGGAACCTCACGCTGTCTTCCTTCTGTTTCCAGGTGGAGACCGTCATTCACCCCCGCTTCCTGGAAGAATTGCTTTCCCCAGATCCACAGATGGATTTCTTGGCCCTAAGCCAGGAGCTGGAGCAGGAGGAAGGACTCACCCTTGCCCAGGTAGAGCAGGGAGGGAGGAGAACCCAGGTACCCCGGGGGCAGGAGGGACCTGGGACACAAGCCCCACCTGATTGTCTACCCCACCCTGCGGGGATGCTCGGCTTCTTGGGGAGCCACTCCGAGGTGGGGAGGTGCAGGTTCAGATGGAGCAGGATGGAGAGGAGCCAGGGAGGAGAATCAGGATGCAAACTGCAGTGAGGCCCAGCGGGATGCCCGGCAGAGCCACACCCTCTCTTTGACAGGAAGCCCAGCTGCCTCAGGCTTCCCTGCCTGCTGCCCAAGTGCCCTGGTCTCTGCCACCCTGGGCCCTGCTCACACTTGGGGCAGCGCCAGTCAGTGCCCCCTTTCCTCCCGCAGGTAGCGGAGAAGCGCCGCCTATCCTTGAAGGAGGAACGGTGTGCGAGGGCAGCCCCTAGTCATGGCACCGCCCGGTTAGACTCAATGTCTTCTGAGTCTGCAGCGGGCCAAGGAGCAGAGAGAGATGTCCCTGGCCCCCAGCAAGGGGTCAGCGTGGAATCCTGCCCACCCCAGACGGCTGCCTGGGACCCTCAGGGACGAGGCAGAGCATGCACTGGCATGGCCAGGTCCAAAAACCCTGTTATGCTTTTGGAGAGCTTGGATTCCCGCAGGCTGAGGGCTGCCCCGCCAAACTGTCCTCCCCAGGACCACAGACCCACCTGCCCTGGTCTGGGGACCAAGGACACCTTGGGTCTCCCTGGAGGGTGTCCTGTCAGGGAGTCACGTGGGCTGGCTCAGGGGTCAAGTGAGGAGGAGGAGGAGGAGCTCCCCAGCCTGGCCTTCCTCTTGGGTTCCCAGCACATGCTGCTGCCCTGGAGGCTGCCCCAGAGCCCTGTCCCTGCCTCAGGCCTTCTCAGCCCAGAAGGACAGGGACCCCAGGGAGCTCCTCAGTCTCCCTCTGCTCAGAGAGGAGGCCTCAGCCCAGCATCTGCTCCTGCCACCAAGTCCAAGAAGCAAGCTCTCTTCAGAGGCCCATCCCCTGCTGAACAGACACCCCACCTAGGGCCTGGGCTCAGAGTCTCTGGGGCGCAATCCCTGGCTTGGGGACTGGGTGGCCCCTCACAGTCCCAAAAGAGAAAGGGTGACCCCTTTGGTCTCCAGGAAGAAGAAGTGGGCTTGTAGCCAGTAGGGGGACAGGGCAGACTCTCTGGTGCCAATCCCTGAGGGTGGGGCTCTGACATCCAATGCCCCAAAGCAGACAAAAGTTTCACCCCAGCGCTGATCTTGTTGGGCCTTAGCTTTGGAGGGTGGGGGAGGGAGGGGAGGGAGATGGTGGCTGAACAGGAAGGGAGGGCCTGGGGGTAGGAGGTGAGGAGCAACACCTTGGGGGTCTCATATGTAAATATGAATAAATATCGTTGTGTTGGAAATGCTCTCCGGGTTGCTGCCTCTGTCCTCAGGGCTGTGCTGCTCAGTGGAGGGGGTCTGTGAGGGAAAGCAGAGGGACCGGGAGATGCCAGGCACTGGGGACCCACGGGGGCCAGCCCCACTTGTTCCGCCAGGTGTAGGCTGCCCCTTCAGATGCTTCAGGGACTGACGGATGCTCAGGAAGCCCTGGTCCCTCCCACCATCCACTCACAAGGCCCCACCTGCTTCAGTTATCAGCATCCCTGGGAAATCCTGGGATGGAGAGAGCTGGCTGGCTCTTGTTCTGCCCGGTGGGAGCTGAGGAGAAGGCAGATGCCTGCAACATGGACACAGGGAGAGGCGGCCGCTCCTGCTTAACCCTCATCAGGAAGAGCTCGGGCCCTGGGCTGAGGGGAGATGTCGAGGTGTCCATCCACATGGGTGTGTTTGGGATACGACAGTGGGTGGGGAGCAGGGGAAGTCCCTCTGCCGGTTTCTGGGCAGGACAGAGTCTTGTCCAGCTGGAGGAAGCAGATGCTCCTTGCTGTGGCCACGGGGGCTGGCCTCAGGGGCCCTCGGGGTCCTGCATGGAGCCCCCCACAGCTATGACTCCCTTCCCATATGATGACTGAACTCTTGTGTGGAATTGATGCAGACAGATTTACACTGGTATCTGAAACAGTTCCCTCCCAACCCACCATCACCAATGGGCACAAGCATGGCCAGCCTGCCAGGTGCAGGGTGGGTGTGTCTGCTGGTCCCAGCGCCAGGGAGAGCTGGGACCCAGGCCGAGAGGTGTCGAGGGTCTGCCACCCTTCTGCCAGGCACAGATCCCAAGGGCAGAGCAGGGGCTGCCTGGATGTGGCACTGGCTGTCTGGGAAGTGCATGGGAGTCGGGGGCCTGGTGTTGGCTGAAGGGAGACTTCCGGAGTCTAAGAGTGAGATGAGGACTGTACCAGGAGAGGGACTGAGGCTGGGGAGGACCCTCTGCTCTTTCCCACATTGTCCTGTCCTCCCCATCTCTACTGAACTCCCCTCACCCCATGTGGCCCACCTCTACCCCCTTACCCCTAACCCACCTCTCAGAATCTCAGATCCTAGCATAGACAGGACCCGGCACCCGCCGCGGTTCCCTCCTGGCCAACACCTTCCTCACCGTCTGAGTTCCGATTCCTCCCCAGGGCCCTTGTTGGCTCAGGACCACGGTGACTGCCAGAGCACTGGTCCCAGCACTCCCTGTATGCAGAGCTGTGGTCATGGTGCTGGGGGCTGGCCCAGCAGCAAAGGCTGGTGAGGCACAGCTGTCCAGTACACGGTGGTCTGGCCCCTCTGTCTAGTGACAAAGGGAGCCATGTTTGGGTCCCCTCTGGCCCCATCCACCCACAGAACACACCAGTCAGCTGGACAGATGCCCCTCTGCCCCATCCCTTCTGCTCCTGTGAGCAGTGTTGGAGGCTTGCCCTCTGTGGACTTTGGGAAGAAGAGTTTATCTTGGCAGGGCTTCCCCGGCTCAGTGCACATCAGCCCATCAGGGAAAATGTGGAGTGAGGAGTCACTGGTGGGTGATGTGTGCAGCTCCAGTGACTCCTCTACCTTCAGGGCCATCCTCAGGAGACGAGGTAGCACCTCCCCTTTGCAGGGTTGAGGAATGGTAAGTGAGCCGTGTTTGAAGGGAACGTGGTCTGTATTCTGGCTTGTGTGGGTGCTCGGCCAACTTCCTCATCTAAGGATGAAAGTGACACCTCAGCTTAGTGACACCTTGGGACTCCTGCTTGTTACCCCACTGGCTGTTTGCCCCATGTCCCTGTCCTTGTTTTGGCTGAAACATTCCCAGGAGGCAGAACCTGTGCTTCCTCCACCTCTGTGTCCCACCTGAGGCCTAAAATCTGCCCCTAAATGAGGACAGTGGGGCTGACTGGGGAGCTCTGATAGACTGAACGTGTGTCCCCCACAATTCCTGGAGCCCTAACTGCCAACATGATGGTATTTGGAGATGGGGCCTTTGGGAGTTCTTCAGGGGTAGAGGAGACCATGAGAGTGGGGCCCTAATGTTGGGATTAGGGCCCTGGTAAGGAGCAGAGACCACAGAGCTCTCTCTCCCTGACTCGAGGACACAGTGAGAAGGCAGCCATCTGCAAGCCAGGAAGAGAGCCCTCACCAGAACCTCAGCACACTGGGACCCTAACCTTGGACTTCCAGCCCCCAGACTGTGACAAATACATTTCTTTGCTTAATACATGCCTGGTCCATCCCCCAAGTCTATACTGCATCTTAGCAGCCCTGTGTGACTAGCACAATGTCCATCATCTCAGGAACTTCCTTACTAACTGGTATGTGAAAACTGCATCAGAGCCATGGGAAAGAATGAAGAAAGGCTCAGCCCTTTACGACGGTCAGCACAACTCCACCCAAAGTGCAGCATATCACACGTGAACCAGGAGTGCTATGGGACACAGTGAAAGGGAATGTGCAAACACCTGTGACGTCATCACATCCATGCTCAGGGAAGCCAGGCAGCTCACTCACAGCAGGTGCTGGGGGTTTGCTGAGGCTCTCAGTGAGCTTGGCCTCCCTGCTCATGCACCCAGGTCACTCCCTGGGACCCAGTGCAGCTGGGGCGCCCTGGGCATGTTTGCCTCTAGAGCCCCCTCCCTTCACTGCTGGATAAGATCCCTGAAGACGCCATGGCCTCCTGGGAACCTCCATCTGATGTGGGCAAGGCCGGCCCCCCGGTAGTGAACATGCTGTGCTTTCTGACAGCTGCCAGGATGGACTTGCTCCAGGTGGCTGCCCTTTTCTAGCTGCACTTTGATTCTAACTTCAGCATCCCATGATGTCTTTCAGGTCTAGGTGCCCTGGGTGGTATTAGTGAGAATCACTTGCTTTGGGGGATCTGGGCCAGGTTGTCCCCTCCTGGCCAATCGGCTGATATCCGGCCAGGGCTGTCAGAGTTGCTGACCATCAGTGGATGCTGACACTCAGCAGTGGACCCAATCCTAGCACATCCCTGTGAGGGAGCTGGTACGCTGGGTTACTGATTCTGAGTTATGATGTCATTGAGCATGCGTGGTCTCCACACCTGTGCCCTGTGAGCCCATTTTAGGCAAATGTATGCAGACTAAGGCTGTATTTACCCATGGTTCATTTTCCATCCTCATCTCAGTCCGCCAAGGGATGAATTCCACCTCTCATGCCATGGTCCTTCCTCAGAATCTCCTTTGTCTTAGTTCATTCCAAAGATCATGTTGTAGGGACGTTTATCACGTATGCAGTATTTGCATAAACTGTATGAGCGATTAAAAGATATTCTCTGACATTAAACACAAACAACATAGAAATCTCACAGGTGAAGATACGATCATAAGACGCCTAATCAATGTCAGTGGATGGTTAGTCAAAGTCAATTGCTTCATCCTCTTGCCCTTCATTAGCATACATAGAAACCGATTGTAAACAGGCTTCACTCCTTCATAATGTGCCAAAATAAAACCCCAAAGCACACATCACACAAACCAAGTCATGCCACTGGGACCGTCGTGTGTCATCTGAGCCAGCTGGGCCATGTCAACTCCTACCCCATCTCATGCTTTTCCCTGCATTGCTCAGGACTGGGAGCTTCTGTGTGAGCCAACATGCAGTGCTACAGATGCTCCATTCATAAGACCTCCTGCAGTCACACCCACTGCTCTTTATTTTTTTGAAAAATGTAAATTTTAGGCCTGGCAGGATGGCTCACACCTGTAATCCCAGCACTTTGGGAGGCTGAGGCAGGCAGATTACCTGAGGTCAGGAGTTCGAGACCAGTCTGGCCAACATGGTGAAACCTTGTCTCTACTAAAAACACAAAAAATTAGCCAGGCATGGTGGCACCTGTAATCCCAGCTACTTGGGTGGCTGAGGCAGGAGAATTGCTTGAACCCTTGAAGGCGAAGGCTGCAGTGAGCCGAGATCATGCCACTGCACTACAGCTTGGGTGACAAGACCAAGACTCTGTCTCAAAAAAAAAAAAAAAAAAAAAAAAAAAAAAAAGGAATGTTTCAACCACATAAAAATAGAGAATAATATAGCCACCCATTAGATGTGGCCCGTGCTAACATTCTACCATTTGCTTCAGCGAATTTTTAAAAGTTTTAATAAGACATTCACATAGCATGTTTTCACTCATTGAAATTGTGTGATTCATGTTTTTTCATAGAATTTGAAACTGTCGTATTAAGCATATTGATAGAATTTGCAGCCATCACCACAATAAACTTTAGAAGATTTTTATCATCTCAAAAGGAAACCCCTCATACTTTAGCCATTACCTCCATCTTCCCTAGCCCTATGTAACTAATTCACTTTCAACATAGTTTTACATACACTGGACTTTTGTATGAATGAAACATACAATGTGTGTCTTCCACATGTCTTCTCTTTACTTAGAATATTTCCAAGGTTCATCCATGTTTTTAGTATCATTACATCAAATCTTTTTATTACTGAATAATATTCCATTGATGGATATACTAAAATTTACCCATTTATCAGTTGAGAACATTTGGGTTGTTTTTACTTTTTGGCTATTGTGAAGATCATTTGTGTACAAGGTTTTGTGGGGATGTGTTTCCATTTCTCATGGCTATATACCTAAGAACAGAATTGATGGGTCATATGGGAACTCTATGTTTAACTATTTCAGAAGGTGCAGACTGTTTCCAGTGTAGATGTACCATTTTATATACCCACTAGCTGTGTGAAGGTCCCAGCTTCTCTCCATATTCCAGCCAATATTTATTATCAAATCTTTTTAATCAGGTCATCCTAGTGGTTCTGAGGTTACATCTCATCATAGTTTGCGTTTGTTTCCCTGATGTTGAACTTCTTTCATGTACCTATTCTCCATTTGTGTATCTTCTCTGGAGTAATGTGTACTCAACATTTTTAATTGGTTTGTGTTTTGTCATTGAGTTATAAGAATTCTTTATGTATTCCAGCTGTAAATGCTTTACAAGACACAATTTGCAGAAATATTCTCCTATTCTAT